TCTGAAGCAGGGGTATGAAATCTTTCATGTATAACCTGTCTGTTACCAAACAAACCAGGAACCAAGATGTGGAACCGCTCTAAAGTTCTCCACTTCTACTCACAGCTGTCTTACTTACCAGAAAGCCCATAACATTTGGTTTAAACCTTCAGTGTAGATATTTCTTTATTTGTGTTATAGACACAGTAACTTAATTAGTATGTCTGGCTCTTCTTTGTTTTCCAGATTCTGGTTATATGGGGAGCCGGACAACAAGGACCAGCAGTCAGCAGGCATAAAGGCAAACTGCGTCATTAATAGCAATGAATGGAAGGATGAACCCTGTGAAGATCAGTATAGATGGATCTGTGAGACTCAGACACTGCTCCGCAAACCACTTCATATCTGATAAATCATTTATTTTGAACAATATAAATAGAAATGGCGAAACTCTTTGGATACAATCATTATTTTTTTAAATAATATATTTATTACTAAATAAACCAAATCTGTAACTTGTTAAAATTACAGATGTAAGCAAATTTAAGCAATATTAAGTTTACTTAAAGAAAATGTAAATAAAATGTAAAATAAAATAAAAAAACCAAACATACTTTAGGTTTGGTGTCATTGTGTGAAAAAAATCACGTACAAAAGCAGGCAAAGCATTTATCATTCCTGTATATATATGAACTTTACATTGACCTCTTTGTACATATGTGTGCACAATCATACTGGCAATATAATAAGGACATTGAGTAATTCCAAAACTGCATTTTTTAGCATTATTTGCAGTATGTAGATGCTACTGACTAATTTCCCTGAACTATGACATATATAAGGCAGTGCGACAGACCACACATAGCAAATACCTTCAGAAGACAACATGCATCAATTCTGGTATCTCTATCATCACAGCCAGCTAAACATAGTTGTGGTGACCCAGGCCAGAAGTGTTTGGCAGTGGGGACCCAGTGTGAATGGGGGCCTGGTGTGAATGGGTAGAGATGGGAGGTCCGAGTGGTTTTGGCTCTCTGTCTGTCTGCAGAGGTCTGCTGTCGTATTAATACTCATAGTGAATGTGCAGGACGAGCTCTGCATGACTATTTGATTCTGCATACAGAAGAAACAGGGCCACACAGAAGCCAAAAAGAAATTTGTATAAACAACACTCATTGTTTTGGTATTAAAATTGTTGCACTTACTAACACACATTCATGCCGAAATGAGAAATACACAGAAATGTGAATATGTATGTCTTTGCAGGTGCAATTCACTCCTGCTGAAAACTACAGATAATCAGAAGAATAGTTCAAACTGTTGCCATTGTGTGAATAAACCCACCCTCTAATAACATTCAAAAGCATGGATCATTTCTGTATATACAACACGCACACAGGTGCAGTAATCACAGGCATAAAATCATACAAAAATCATTCCTGTAACATGTTTTAATTACAGTTGTTCTTTCTTTCCCTTGGTACAATGCCTTTTCTGACCGACTTCTGCTACCATGACCTCCCCCACTTCCTCTTTCCATTCTAGTGGGCAGACTGCAGATTTAGCTTTTCAGCGTTTATTTACCATGTGGTCAGTCTGAGATCAGAATATGGCTGAAAGTCAGATAGTTCTGTGGGGAAAAAAACTGCAGAAAGATTTTTTTCTCTTTTGCACATTCTTGTATCAAATAGACACAATAGACAATTTTAATGTCAGAAATGGTTAGCTCTCGTCAGTTATTGGAGTGTAAATCGTCACAATAATGGTGAGTATTTGTAAACATCTTTTCTAAATAAATGATTAGTGACATGCATGAATACACACTTCAGTGAGGATAGATCTCTGTGCTTTTGTAACAGGAAATGATGTGATTGCCATTGCTCATTTATTAGATTGTATCATGTATTTATCAGAATCTTGGCATTTCTGATGTGTGACCATAAGCAGTTCTATATCTCTTGCTCCCACAACTGACTTGTCTTTGTTACTGGTCAACCGCTAGAAGCTTAGCCTAGCAGCACTTGTACGAAAATGAGCTCTCTGACAGCTGTATGCTTGTTGTATTATCTGCTTCAGTTTAATGTTGTTTTTAACAATAGTCAGCAAAATACAGAGTTCTGAATGGAAAAGTCGTAGCCATGGTGACGTAATTAGCAAGTGGAGTATCTTGTTTTTATTCCCATCAGGGACAAAAGAAAAGACCAGATCAAGCTCCAATCCCTGTGGATTGATTTCAGGGGGTCTAGGGCTGCTGTGTTTCCTCCAATTCGCTGTCATCATAGTCCTAAGCATTTATTGTGAGTATGACTGTATATTACTCAGTATTGTGTAATTCACTCTTAGTACTTGAATGTTTGCTCTAGTAAATGTAATAAAATAAATTGGTTTGTGTTTGGGAAACTGGGGGCACCAACTCGACATAGAATTATTTTAGATATAAATGATGCAGGAATGTATTACAGCACACCCATGTAAAGTACCTTGGGCCAATGCTGTTGTGAAAGGCGCTACATAAAAATTGCTTGAATTTAATAGAGGAACATTGTTATTCAAAAAAGCCCCCCCCCCCACCCCATAAAGCATTGGAGATATCTAGATTTTGTACAGGAAATTAAAGGTCCATTCAAGCTCGTTCTACAATAATATCAGGACAGGTTGGTGTAAAATTAGCTTTTTAAAGTTTCCAATGCTGTTGATTTTAAATTTCACATTTTCTGAAATATGACAGGAGATGAGAGGATTCATAAGCATTTAAAAACTATTTCAGATCTTGCTCTTGGACATATAGTATGAAAATATATATCAGTATCTGTGAATACTGAGTTAATGAGAATCCTATATGAATGCATAGCCTGTACTTGTATATTTGTACATCTGTTTATTGACTGTGTGAGGTGTATTGACTGAATGAAACTTGTTCAGTAAAGGAAGGTAATCTGAAGCACCATGAGGCAAGATGTGGTGTCCAGGCAGAGAATGAGCAGCTACACGAAGATTTCAGCTTCCTGTTGAGTTTATGGCAATATTAGTGTTATATTAAGGTGTCATTTGTATTCATATGTTTTAATATATTTTGCAATTATTAGAACTAGTAACAGACACCAAATAACCCCAAACCTTTTCAGTGATGGAAGTTAAGCCCAAACAGCACATTCAAACAAACCAGGAACCAAGATGTGAAACAGCTCTAAAGTTCTCCACTTCTACTCACAGCTGTCTTACTTACCTGAAAGCCCATAACATTTGGTTTAAACCTCTAATGTAGATATTTCTTTATTTGTTACATATGGCTCTTCTTTGTTTTCCAGATTCTGGTTATATGGGGAGCCGGACAATAAGGACCAGCAGTCAGCAGGCAAAACAGCAAACTGTGTCATTAATAGCAGAGAATGGAGGGATGAACCCTGTGAAGATCAGTATAGATGGATCTGTGAGACTCAGACACTGGCCCCCAAACCACTTCATATGTGAATTTTTTAAAATAACTTATTTATTAGCAAATTAGCTAAGTTTGCAACTTTTAAAAAGTACCAGTTGCATTTAAATAACATTACATTTTCCTCTTTTTCATAGTCAACTGCAAATTTATTGAGTCCATGCTTGTAAATATGTATAATAATAATATACTCCACCTGTTATCTGTGATTGGACAGATATACAACCATCAATGGTAATACACTTGGTAATATGTGATGCATCAGTGTATTACAGTGCTGCTTATGAGAGAGAGCTGCATAACGTCACGTCACACAGCACTGGCAACTGAGCCCTTAATAACTAGATATTTGCTTTAAGTTCTCATTTAAATAACACAATGTGCTTCAAATGAATGACGTCCGTAACAATTCTGAAATGTATGTTGACAGTATTACTGTAAAATAAGCTAAAAGAGCTCTTTATATTTTTATAGAAAGACTGTAATTTACCTACTTTTAATTTCAATACTTTCTCTAAAAATTGTATTCTATATTAGTATGTTCCTTCAGTTGTTATTCAGTAGTAAAATCGAAATAATAAGCTGTGAGCAGAAGTTGACTGTAAACACTGAAAAAAAATTCTGCACCGGTTTTGAATTTTCAATACAAATAGTGCCATCAAAGTCTTTGCTTCAGTGATCATTTCAAGAAGACTGGTGACACTAGGTGGCATCAGTGTTAATCCAAACTCACAGTAACATTATTGTTGCCTAAATGGAATCTTAAAAGCAAGACTGAATATTACAGTGAATTATGCTCATTTGTGTATTAATACTGGCAGATTAAGAATGAAGCTGAGTAACTATCACATGGATTTTAACCCTGCAGACTAGTTAGACAGATATACTGTGTACATGCTGCTGACCTGGT